TGTGTTTTCTTTAACTAATTCTCCAATTTGCTTCCTGAAGTGCTGATTGTTTAAATCTTTGTAGAAACAGTTCTTCTGTTGGTCTTCTAGCTGGCGCCTGAGGTCGGGCTGGTCCTCTAAACGCTTTTGGAGATCTGCACAGACGCCTTCCTTTATCTGCAGCTGAATTTCTAAAGCCATAATTCTTTTGTGCTGGGTTTCTGGGGTTTCTGCCTCACTTTGATGGAAACCCAGTCTCTCTTCCAGTTTACTGATTTCTTTCTTTAAGTTCTCGTTACTTATGTCTTTCTCCTGAATCTTCTGTCTTTGGTGGGCTCTGATCTGAGATTCCTGTTTTAAACGCTTCTGGAGATCTTCGCATAAATCATCTTTTTCCTTAAGTTGAATATTTAAAGTTCTCAGTGTTTCTTCATGGGTATCTCTTTTGCTCTGGTAATAATCCAGTCCTTGTTCCAGTTCATTAATTTCTCTCCTGTAAAAAGCACAATCAGACTCGGCCTTAATTCTGTTTTTCTTCTCGTTCCTCAGAGACTCGTTTGCACGGCTCAGATGGTTTTTGAGTTCACGCACCTGCCTTAAAAGTTTTTCCACGTTTTCATGTTTTTCACAAGCAGCTGATTCCTGCTGGACTTTTCCAGATCCAGGAGTTTTTTCTAGTGGTTTCAAATCATGTTCGGAGCTTTCTTGGCCGTCTCCGTCAGAATCAAAAGTTTTTTCCAGATTGTAATCCACTTCTGGATCTTCGAGGCACATCTCATACCAAGACGGTTTTGTTTTACTAGAGACGTTGTTTCCAGGCATTTCTGGGTCTTTGTGTAAAATATTCTTGTGTTTGAGAGAGAAAGTCAGAAACGCGATGATTCTCACGAGAGCTCTGTCACACGTGTGTTAACAGTGAGCTGTGGACACTAATACTGACTGACGAGCCTTTGATGACGTCATATAGAGCACGCAGACGCTGGCAGGGCCCTTTATGTTGTGCTCCTGATCTCCTTTATTCTTCTTCCGTGGACGTTAACGCGTGCACCCTCCCAAGTTATACATCAAAACGAGCGGCTCGGCAGTGGGAGATGTACTCTTTGGTTTTCTAAGCAATCCGTTTTACGATGGCGGAAAGATTTGCAAAAAACGTGTGTGCCACTCAAAATTTGCATTATTATCCATTAAATATGCGCATAATTTAATTTGTTTGTATTTATTTATTTAGTTATTGACTTATTTTTAAGGAGGATAAAACCACTTGAGATTAAGCATCTCGTTTACAAGTGAGCAGAGGTGGAAACGAATTGAGTAGCTTTTTTGTTTATTAATACTTTTGAAGTTGTTTTGAAAATCCGTACATTTACTTTTACTAGAGTATGTTTTTTTAAGAATTGTAATTCGCTTTTTTTTAAGAATTGTAATTCGCTATTTCATCATATCCGTAACTGAAAGAAGTTGTAGCTTAATGAATTAAAAATATTGCATGAGTGCCGCGTCTAAACGGGGAGGGGGGGTATACCTTAGGTAATGAGGACAAACAGACATTTTTACCGCAGTTTTGCTCAAAGACATCAGTTCAGTCCCTGTGATCAACTCGCTGTTTACCTCCTCTCTCCCTCCTCTTCTGTGGGTTGGAACCCGCACCTTAGCGCACCGGTGTGACGTCATCAGAATTCTGCTCGGTTCGGTAACCAGATTCGGTTTCGTATTTGAAACGTGTTTCCCTACCGCTCCGCACGGCAGCGGCAAAATAACGTTTAGCGCTCATAACAGGCGGATTATCAGCACTTTGCTCATAAAACAGAAGACCTGCAGGCCTCTGTGAGTTAATCCTGATACTGTTCAGGTGTAAACATTGTGCTCCATCCCTGTGGTTGAACTCAGAAGATGCTTCTTGATGCCGCAGATATGTGATGATTTAGCTTGTTTCTTTATTTTACTCCAGAATAAGAGATTAAATTATTACTAAAGCAGTTCAATGTAGTTAAATCAGTCATTCACATGATTCTAACATGCTGCAGTGTGTGTGTGTGTGTGTGTGTGTGTGTGTGTGTGTGTGTGTGTGTGTCTGTGTGTGTGTGTGTGTGTGTGTGTGTGTGTGTGTGTGTGTGTGTGTGTGTGTGTCTGTGTGTGTGTACATATGGCTGAACATGAAAATAGTCTCCTACACCTGTCTCCTGCAGTAGCTTCTGATAGAAAACAGACGGTGAAACTCTAGGATCACAAAGGCCTGACAGATCTACGTCACAGTTTTACTTATTGTGTCTTGGTCAAGTATGCGCTTGAGTATTTTTGGTTGGTTCATAGCATAGCATAGCATAGCATAGCATAGCATAGCATAGCATAGCATAGCATAGCATAGTTTATCTATATAGCACATTTAAAACGCAGCATGGGAGCTGCCCAAAGTGCTGCACAGGCTAAAACAAAACACAACCATTCGAAAGAACTAAAACAGAGGATAAAAATCCCAGTCAAAAGCAGATAAAACATGATGAATACTAAGAACACATTAAAACAATGATACAATTAAACACTAAAACGAGTCACTGTCTAAAACCTAAAGAGTAAAAGTGGGTCTTTAAAAGATTTAAAAACCACCAGAGATGGAGCCTGCCAAACTCCAATGGGCAATGAGCTCCATAGCTTTGGGGCAGCATGGACAAATGCTCGTTCACCCCGCGATTTGAATCGCATCCGCGGCGTGCACAGCAGCAAAAGGTCAGCCGACCTCAACGTGCGCGTGGGCACATGTGGAGTGAGCAGGCCAGAGAGATAGGGAGGTGCCAGGTCATTGAGAGCTTTAAATACAAAGGTCAGTAACTTAAACTGCACTCTGAAAATGACAGGGAGCCAGTGAAGATGTTGCCAGGACAGGGGTAATGTGGCTACGTCGGTGTGTACTCGTCAAGAACCTGGCAGCAGCGTTCTGGACGACCTGCAGCCGATTCAGGGCGGATACCGGAACACCATGGATAAAGCATCTGCCTCCCACTCTGTCTTGCCGTGTTCTGACTTCGGTTCGATCCCCCGTCTCAGCAGGAATTTATTTTCTTCTTCTTTGTTACAGTTTAACCCTTCATGGTGAAACCATTTAAAACATCAGGACCATTTTTGATTTAGCCCGCTGAAGCTCCAGGTGAGGTGAGCAGAGACGATTGGGACCAGAACACCAGAACTAAATGCTGCTTGCTTGGAAGTGACCAAATTCAAAGACATTTAGAGACCCAACACATTTAGCAGAAAATAATCAATAAAACTAAAATAAAAAATATAATATTTCCCAATTTTTTAGAGTTAGTCTCATCTCCAACAGCGGTCTCCTTAGCAGCAGGAGGCAGAACATGAAAGCAAATGAGCAGATTAGCAGTGATTTGTTTCTTAAATTTTCTTATCATGTAGACCTGGGATCGGGAGAAAACTCCCCGTTTCCCATGAGACAAAGAAGACACGCCCATCATGTGTTGTAGGTCCAAGGATGACCAGCTTAGGTAACCTCAAAGCTGCAGCTTCAGCAAAAGGAAATTGACCAATTCTAGGCCTCAGGAACACAGGTCTGCATGTTTTCCATCTCTCTGCTTCAGCACACCTGATTTACATATTTGTGTTGCCTCCTTGGAGGACATGCAGTGCTGCTGGTGCCGGTTTATCACTCACTCATTGAAGTGATGGCAGCAGAGAAACGTGTGTTTCTCTGGCAACATGGAGACCAAGCAGAGCAGGGGGTCCTGAATTAGGAAACGGTGACTCAGGGGAATTTTGCTTCTACATAAGCATAGCGCCCCCTGCTGATGATCAGCCAGCTAATGACTAACAGGTTTAGGGGATAGCATCCTGCAACACATGCACTGCAGTAAGCAGATAGCTGAACATGATGTGATGTGTTATACAATTAACAGAATACGAGAATCACACAAGACCTACAGATATAGCCAGTATTTAACTTACTGTTTTATGTCCTTCTTACCAAATATTTCATTTAATTATTGTTGATGTGTTCGATAACAAGATGGCGCCTATGCTTGGCTTGGACACAGTCACCGGCCACTTTTTCAAACTTTTCTCCGCTAGAATCCTCTCTTCCACCTTGCTCCTGTCTGCATTCCTCTTCAGTAGTGTCCCTGCTACCATCTCCTATGATCACCAGACTCTGTTGTCCTTCCGTTCGTTCACGATCGCCCAAGATGCACCGAGGACGTACCTCCCTGTTTGTTTATCTGAGTGGCGTACTGGCCCGGAGCCAAACGACGATTCCAAACAGGGCGCCTCCAGCGATGTTTATCCGGTCCCGGGAAAACGTCGGAGGAAAAGAGGTAAACAAGCAGGAATCCAGGTGAGAATACGACTTCTCTTAAAGCGTGGTTTATCTAGTAAACATCAACATCAATTAAATATTTATTTTGGAAATAAATATTTAAAATTTAAATTAAATATTTAATTTGTAAATTAAATATTTTCCAAAGAAATATTTAGATCCCAGCTAAATATTTATTTACCATTATGTTATTTAGCTCCACACTATAGTTTATATTTTTGGGTCAGACTTAAATATTTATTTCCCAAATACTGATTTTGCAAACTAAATGTTTAGCTCTAAAATAAATATTTAGCTGGGATCTAAATATTTATTTCGGAAAATAAATATTTAATTTACAAATTAAATATTTAGTTCCAAAATAAATATTTAATTAGTAAATTAAATATTTAGTTAGTGAATTAAATATGTATTTTACAACTAAATATTTAGATCAGACCTAAATATTTAGTTTGCAAAATAAATATTTAACTGCAAATTAAATATTTATCTTGCTAACTAAATATTTATTTGGAAACTTTAACATTTATAAATGTATGAATAACATGATGAAAATATGACTTCGAAAAAGTGAACTCCCAATTTTTTTCTCTTATGATATGCTAAATAACCAAAAATATTGCTGTTAGATTATGACTGTTTGACTTTACAAATGGCACCCCATAGTTTTCATGACATTTAGCGTGTATTTGGCTGTGTCCGAATCCAGGGGTAGGATGCTTGTGAGTACGGGTCCTCGCCGGTCTAGCAAGACCGGGTCCTTGCTAGACCGCTAAAACCGGAAGTCAGCGGCTCTGAATTCGGACAGTACTAGCCTCGTTTTTATTCCCGCCCCCAGGTCCAGTTGCTTAGCTACCGTGACGGCGTCAAACAGGCTACCAAGCTAACAAGCTAGTCAGAGGTGAAAATGGATCCACAGCAGTATTCCCTTTTATTTTTGGTTTTTGAGGAGCTGCGACTGCTTAGTAAACGTCACCGGCCTTTGTATTTAAGGCTGAGAAGCAGCCATATCCAGGTAAAATTATTTTTTGTTTAGTGAACCAGCTTTCAGGCATTACGTGTTAACTTTAGTGCTATAGTTTCATTTATATTTTAAGCAACAGAAAGACATGTGGCTGAATATACACATTAGTATAGAGTAGACTAACATGCATATAGTTAATTTAACCTATATTCATCTAAAATAATTAATGGAATGACATTTTAGAAGTTTGTATTTGATCATAATGCTTGGTTCTGTGCATAAATTTCATAGTAAAAGTAGCATTACAATGTGTTTAATGTGTATTGTCCTTTTCAACGTATGCCTAATAATGCCTAGCTCTATTCTAAAAATCTCAAGCATTTATACAGTTTTTTTTAATTGTTTTATTGTTCTCTACTTTTCTTTTAACAGAACAGACCCCTGTACTGTAGGATAAACATGAGTGTGCCAGTCCTGGACCGTTTTTTTTAACCAGGAAGATCCCAGGCCAGATTTTCGTCTGAGCAGGGAGTCTTTTGTGGTGTTGCTAAATCTCCTGAACCAAGATCGGCGACATGGTTGGGGTGCCACAATCGAGACCCTGGTGTGTCTGTTCTGGTTGGCAAGTGGAACATCCTACAGGGTGGTCTCAAGAGTATTTGGGATGCCTCGCTCAACTGTCCACGACATCGTCCATCGAGTCACGGAGGATGTGGTCGCAATCCTCCACCAGGTCATTCACCTCCCCAAAACCCCAGAGGAGATGGAGGTTGTGTCTCGTGGGTTTGCTGGGCTGGCTCGACACAGAGCTTTCATGAAAGCAGCAGGTGCGATCGACGGCTGTCACATTCGGATCAAGGCTCCGAGCGGTCCTGATGGTCAGTGCTACAGAAACAGGAAACTGTTCCCATCTATCATCCTGCAGGCAGTTTGTGACCATCAGGGCCGCTTTATCGACACCTATGTGGGCTGGCCTGGGTCGGTCCACGACTCCAGGGTCCTCCGGCACAGCCCACTGTACAGGCAGTCAGCCTATCCTCCTCCAGGGCACTTCATCCTCGCGGATGGAGGGTACCCATGCCTCCAACATCCACTCCCCCTCATCACCCCCTACAAACGGGTGGTTCAAGGTGTGGGAGCCCAGCGCTTCAACAGCCAGGGCACGCTGCATCATCGAGCGTGCCCTGGAATGATGAAGACCAGGTTCAGGACCATCTTCCTGAAAGCGCTGGAGGTCCACCACACCTTTGTACCTCATGTAAGTTAACACAAAGTGGAAATAAACTTTGGGTGTAATCTTTGTTTGGGAATGAAATATAAATTAAATGTTTATCTCTATTACAGGTCATCATAGCATGCACCATCCTGCACAACATCTGCCTCAGTGCTGGTGACATTGTGGTGCAGGACGATGAACTGGAGGATGATGCTCCAGAAGATGAGGGGGAGGCTGGTTTGGAGGCAGTCAGTGGTGCCCTCTGGCGGGACCAACTTTCTGCTGAGGTGTCTGCTCTGGAGGAAGTACCACCAGATCACAATTACTGTTAACAGGCAAGTAATTTACGTAGGAATCTCTAGTTTAAAAATCATTTAGTCCTGTTATCTGCTAGAGTTACAAGTATTATACTCATGATCTCCTTTTTTGCATATATCTGAATGTTAGTGATGTGACAGCCGTCGATTGAGCCAGCCCAGCAAACCCTTTTGATGGACGATGCAGTGGTCAGTGAGATGACGCATCCAGACGCACCCTCTGCAGACCATTCTGTCTGATGTTCCACTTGCCAACCAGAAACGTTCAGCCACGGATCTCGGTTCCTGCACTCCATCCACCTCGATGATCCATGTTTAGTAGATTTAGCAACACCACCAAAGACTCCCTGCTTTCTAAGTTTACTGTATATATTTTACTTTTATCTTTACTTTTATTCCTTACAGTGTTCCCTTACAATTTATTTACTATGTTGTTACTTGTTAAAAACTGAATAATAAAACTGTTAATGATCAAAAACAAGTTATCAATTAATAGAAATTTTATTACATTTAAACAAATAACAAAAACATTCAAACACATATATAGAACCTGAACCAGAAGAAACTAAAAGAAAAAAACTCCATTTCTCTGCCATCCTTTCCATCAATGCTAAAAATCTGTCCATCCTTCTTTCTCTCCTCTCCTCCGCTTCCCTCTGTTGTCTCATGTCCTCCCTGATCAGGTCAAGGAGCTCATCAGCCCTTCTCCTTTTTCTCCCTGATGAGGAGTCCGGCTTCCTTCCACCACTCTCCCTGTCCTCTGTCTCACCCACTGCTGCACTTGGCCCTGGAGTGTCCTCGGGAATGGAAGCAATAAGGACAGGAGGCATAGTGGAAGGCCTCTGTCCCAACACCTCGTCCATGGGGACAAACCAGGGCCAGGTTTCAGCAGTGGGCTTTCCGCTGACTCCCTCTCCTGACCCTGGATACTTGCAGTCCTACAGACAAAGGGAATTAGAATTACAAGGCTTTATTGTCATTTAACAACAGAGAACACTGTGGGCATAATGAAATTACAGATGCTCCTTAAAGGTACTGGTTCTGGATGAGAATAGAGAGGAATAGAAGAACAAAGTCAGATTATAAATCATAGTTGATAAAACATGCAATAAACAATATTTTAATTTATCAACATGGGAGATGAAAATTGTGTTCTGTGTTTTTTTTCCGCCTAAAATGAAATTAAAAACATTAAATCAGTAATGTGGTTTCTTAAAAATTAACTTAAATAAACATTAAACTTAGTATTCGTTATTTTTGGCGTTCGTTACATGATTACATAAGATGCAAGCTCTTTTACAGTGAGTTTTTTCCTATTAGACTTTCAAGCAAGTTTACGGTGGGGTGTTAACCTTAAAACAAATGATGAGAAGCTTTATTCGCTAAATAAACACACACACGGGAATTATGACGGGACCACCATACAAGCTCGTTCTCGCTGATTTCTGCTTAAAATGTACTTATACAAACGACAAATGTCTATAAACAGAACCGCTTTCAGATTAGTTTCCTACCGCTATTTTCTTTTGAAAAGCCTGCTGGGATCAAGCTAGTTTACGGTGGGTTTTTTCCTATTAAACATTCAAGCTGGTTTTCGGTGGGGCATGTTTTAGCCTTAAATTACATGAAAAAAAAAACAATTTGCGGTATTAGATCTTATATAAAACACAAACCAAAAGTGCCCAAACACGTATTTTATTTTTTTGACCGCTATTTTTTTAACTAACTTACATTTTAAGCTGTACTGCTGTCCCGCTCCGTCCGCCGTTGTTGCGAGTGTCGAGTCCAGCGGCCGGCGTGCAAAGCATGCTGGGATACCCTTGCTCCTGTGAGGATCCATCAGACCCATCCTCGAAATGTGGGTGGAGCGAGGACGCGTTTGAGGACGCGAGAATGAGGATTCTTGGAATTCGGACAGTACTCGTCGCTGCGCTTTGACGTCATCGACCTCAAAATGCGCACTCACAAGCATCCTATCCGTGGATTCGGACACAGCCTTTGTCATGATGTGAGGGTGGGGATGGCGGACCATGTGTGGTGGGGGGTTCAGGAGGCAGAAGAGCAGGCACGGATGAAATAAAATGGATTTAATAACAACGGGCGCGACAGGACAAAACGAGACATGCACATACAATGATCCGACAAAGGACAGGTGCAAAACAGGTGGTATAAATACACAAGGCTAATTAGGAAAACATGGGCAGGTTAACAAGGGGCAGGTGAGAACAATAAGGGCTAATCAGGGCAGGAGAGGAACACAGTCAGGAAGGCAGGGGCAGATCGTGACAGTATTTTATTTAAATCATCTTCAGCTTTACAAATTTTTGAGAACATTTGTTTTGCATTGTGTGGGAAAATAACCAAAAGTAAACTGGTGCACTCTGGGAGGTTCATGGAGTTCCGAGGACTCGCTTTGGGAACGGTGGTTCGCTTAGGGAATATCAACGAATTTGTAGTCCTTTGTAAACGAGTACAAAAAATAAAAATAAAAAACTTCCAGAATTATTTCCTAAATGACTCAAAATTACATTTACAAGACACAACAGTTTTGACACGCTTTACACAATCTGGTCTTCTTTTATTAGGATTTTATTCCAAAATTAAGGGATTTTTTTCAATAGCTCCTAGGTAAATCAGTCTAAATACACAAAACCATTTCTCAATGTTGTTACTAAGCCAGACCAATGAGACACAGCAATTTTTAACACCTTTAATATGATCGGATCTTTTTTATTAGGATTTTTATCAAAAATTAAGGGATTTTTTTCAGTAGATCCTAGTTAAATTACTAAGCCACACCAATGAGACACAGCCGTTTATAACACCTTTCATACAATCTGATCTTTTTTTATTGGAATTTTTATCTAAAATTAAGTGATTTTTTTCAATAGCTCCTATAAATCAGTCAAAAAAAACCAAACCATTTCTCAATTGTGTTACTAAGCCAGACCAATGAGACACAGCCGTTTTTAACAACTTTCATATAATTTGATCTTTTTTATTAGAATTTTATTCCAAAATTAAGGGATTTTTTTTCAATAGATCCTAGCTAAATTAGTCAAAATACCCAAAACCTTTTCTCAATGTTGTTACTAAGCTAGATCAATGAGATACAGCCGTTTATAACAACTTTCACACAATCTGATCTTTTTATTAGAATTTTTATCAAAAATTAAGGGAATTTTTTCAATAGCTCCTCGGTAAATCGGTCTAAATACACAAAACCATTTCTCAGTTGTGTTACTAAGCTAGATCAATGAGACACACCAGTTTTTACCTTTCATGCGATCTGATCATTTTATTAGAATTTTTACAAAAAAATAAAGGGATTTTTTTCAATTGCATAGGTAAATTAGTCAAAATAACCAAAATCATTTCTCAATTGTGTTACTAAGCCACACCAATGAGACACAGCCGTTTTAACAACTTTCATATAATTTGATCTTTTTTATTAGAATTTTATTCCAAAATTAAGCGATTTTTTTTTTCAATTGCTCCTATAAATCAGTCAAAAAACCCCAAACCATTTCTCAATTATGTTACTAAGCCAGACCAATGAGACACATCAGTTTTTAACACCTTTCACACGATTCAACTAAACCAGTCAACTTCAGGGTTCATTTCAAGATCCTGGTTCTGGTCTATAGGGCCTTACATGGACATGCACCATCTTACATTGGTGATCTTCTTAGTCCCTACACCCCCAGCAGGTCCCTGAGGTCCAGTGATCAAAGCCTACTGGTTGTGCAGCACCAGGCTAAAGGTCAAAGGTGACAGATCATTTGCTGCTGTGGCCCCCAGACTCTGGAACTCTCTCCCCCTGAGCCTGAGATCAGTGGACTCAGTGGTCTCCTTCAAAAAGCAGCTGAAGACTCACTTGTTCAGGCTGGCTTTGTATGACCTTCTTCACCACTCTCTCTTTATTCTGCTCTCCCCACCTATTCCACCTTCCTCAGGATCCACTGATTTCCCTCTTTCCTATTCTCTCTCTCTTTCTTAACATTTATTTTTTAATCATAATTGTCTATTTTTGCACATTTTAAATGTATTTCTAAACATTTTCTAAATGCTTTTTTATATTTTTACATTTTTTTTGTTTTTGTGAAGCGCCTCGTGATTTTTATCTTGAGAGGCGCTATATATATAAATTCAAATTTCAAGTTCAAAGATACTTTATTAATCCCAGAGGGAAATTAGAGTTTCAGTGCACACAATTCTGAGATCAGACATACAGACATAGACCAAGGGTGGACTTTAACTTCAAAACCAACCTGCCAGCCGGGCTGGTAACTCTGAAAATTTACTGGCCCCGCTGGTCAGCTGCCAAAACGAGTCAAAATAACAACTGAACCATTTTAAATGTAATAAACCTTTATTTTGTACACATTCACAAACATAATAACGTATTCAAGTTTGAATTTGTTTGTTCCCTCAACAACTCGATTTTGTCGTCACATACTTATGGCATACAACTCAGTACATCACCTCCTCCGCTTTGCTGTACTCGAGCCATTGGCTGTGTTCGAGATGAGCCAGTTCTGCGCAGAGTAGACCAGCGGTGATCGGCTAGCAGTGCATGCCGGTTAGATTTGTGTCCGACTTGACGACGACTTGCTCTGACGTCATGCATACGTAGGCAACGATAACCTCGTGAGATCAAGGCGGCCGCAGATTTTGGAGCAAGGCGCTGCAGTTGCTCTCTACCGGCTGCAAAACCTAGGGGATGATGGGAAATGCCTGGCTCTCACCTGATCTAAGATCTGATTGGTTCATATTTTGATCCAAACATCGGGTGGTAGAACATGAAATGTTTGTTGGTCACATGTATTCTGTAAATCACGTTATGTTGATGATGACAACTATATAGGCCATAAAGAGAAATGTGTTTTGTGTTCTTTTGTCACGTTTCCTATGAACACACTAAACCTACAGCTGGAAACCTTTACTTATTATTACAGTCATGTCTCCATATACAATATATGATATCCACAATTACGTGAGGATGTGTTTCAACTGCTAACAGGCACTAGGGCTGGGGTAAACGATTATTTTTAAAACGATTATTCTGACGATTATTTTATCGAATAGTCGACTATTCTAATGACTATTTAGAAAATTAATCTAATGATTATTTTTCTATTGCACAATTAACAAAAACCAGAAAATCTCAAATAAATTCCTCAAAAAAATTGATAAATTCTTACTGTAAGAGAATAAACACCACAGGCCTTCCATTTTGTATAACACTGCTTTTATTGTGTTGCGGTTGGTTATGTTCTGGTGACGTGTAGATCTTGGGAGTGCAGGCTGCTGCCTGAGAGGTGGTAGAAGATGGAGTGTCTCCATGCTGCTTTGTTTTGGTCACTTATGTGCGTGAGGCGAGTGGTGTTACGGGTTAAACCAAACTCAAGGTGATATTATACACTAAACCGAAAACCCACAACACTCTAAATGTAATAAAAGGGAGATCTACACCACAAAAAAGATGAACTCTAAACCAAAACGTAACAGCTTATCCCAACGCAAGAAGCTGTTAGCGAAGATGCTAACAGTAGCTTTACCAACGTTAAGTTCAAGTTACCAAGTTTAAATAAACCAAAAACACCCAGCAGCAAACAGACCAGCACGGAGGAGAGACTGCTACCACTAAATCAGCTCTCCTAATGTCTGAAAGAAGCTCCTTTATGAAGGGAGAAACGCTCCCGGTGATGTTCTACATCTGCGGTAGAGACGAAGCAGCACATCTGACCCCGGAAGTTGTTGTCCGTTGCTGGGAGACGAAGGCGGGCAAAACAGGAAAGGAATCTAGTAGCGGACGGACATTATTCCGGGTCTTCAGTATTTGGCGGAGATGTTAGTGAAGGCGGAGAAGAGGGCGAACTAGAGGAAAAACAGGCAGATTCCTCTTCTATTTACAAACTCCTGGGGATGCAACAAGTGGGCGCGGTGCGTCGACTTCCGGATCTGACGTCGACAAATTTTTAGAATCGAGCCGTCGACGTCGTCAAGGCTTCGCTACAGCCCTAACAGGCACCAGAATTAAAATTGAAAATTGAACAAGTGTGAATGCTAACACGATATCTTCAGCCATCGTCACCCCCGAGCTACACATGCAGGGAAATCTGTCCGACTCAAACGCTGACTTTCAGCCACTCCCCCTGCTGCTTCCATCTGCTCTCGTCTGTTTTCCAGGCGAGGCGCTGCTCAACTCGAACACGGCCATTCTCTGCGCCTCCCGTCTTCTTTAAACCGCCAAGAATCATTCCACCTACGCACACGCTTCTCTGCTTCATACCGTTTCGAACGGTCTCGCTTCTCCTCACCAGTTTTAAAGCGTTTTGCCGGAGATTTCATCAAGAAATCCAAACCCTGTGGCGGCGCGATCTTCCTGCGTGCTTGTGTGTTTCTAGCGTGGTTCCACTTTGTCTTTAATAGTTCACGTGACTATAACTAGAATCGTGCAGTACGTGCACGAATCGTACAAGTGCAGTACGTGGCTAGAGGCGCGCAGGTTCACGCGCGCAAAACGAAAACGGCGGCTTCCTACAGGGCGGGGCCATGATGTGGGTGAAAGCCGGTGTGTAAATGACAAACAAGGCTTGGGCGCCACCCGGGCGGTAAGTCGTCAAGTATTTACCGCCCAACGAGAAAATTTAGCGCCATTGGCGCTCGGGTGCTTTAACGGTCCACCCCTGTAGACACATGACAAGAATTGGTGACTGTGGTCATTCGCAACCCGAGTCGCGCTACCGTAATACCGTAAGAGGCTAGAGTCAGGGGGAGGGAAAAAAAAGGCACTTCAGAGTTACCCTCAACAGAGAGCAAGGCCGGATTAACGATATGGGCAACTGGGCAATTGCCCAGGGCCCACAAACTCTAAAGGGCCCAGGGCAGCAAGGGCACGAGCAAAATTATGTATCTGTAATTTCCTGCTTCATGAGGACTATGGTGGCCGTACGTCCTGTTTTCCCCGGACATGTTCACTTTTCACTCTCTGTCCGGGGCGTCCGGACTGGGGGTTCTTGTATTGATGAAAATGTCCGGCTTTTCATCAGGAGCAGGGATCGAATTATGGGGGAGCTGTATATCCTACACATCCAGGGGAGCCGGAAAAAAGTTTTCTACCTATATTACGTCATTTATGGACTCTTCTGAGCAGAGAGCACAGAGAGCGGCACAGCGCGTTGTTGCGCAGCGCTCCAGGCTGCTGCTTCCAGCGCACGGTCCATTCTCAAAGTGGCGCAACCAAAAAACTATAATTAGCATGCCATCGTTCATGTCCGCACATGTTCTCTACTTTCTGTCTTATTTGAGCCTGAAGCGCTCTGCTACTGCGGAGCTCATCACCTGTGCTGCAGTGATTTCACTTCACTGACGCAGCATCGAAAGGCGCACTCTGCTTTGCGGTCA